AATATACAGTGTCGACTCTGGCCTTTGCCGATGACTTGGTCCTTTTGAGTGATTCCTGCGACGGCAGATAGAGAGAGGAGACTGACCACCCCGGTCCTTACTGTCGGAGTCCCCGACCTTTTGATGATGAAAGGGCCCTTAGCTATCATAGCCGATGTAGCGATCAGATTTGAGGGCTCGGACGAGACCCTCAGTGATCTTGCCAAATGCAAGTTTCACAAATATAAGCCATTCGCTAGAGTAGTTAGGAGTCTATATCCGGCCCTGAAACGGGTTCATGTGCAGGGTTTCCCCATCGGTGCACGGGGGAAATGGCATGGACCAAACGGATCATTGCTGGGCCTCTTGGGCCTGAGTAAGTCACAGAGGAATAGCTTTGCTAGGCTCTTTGGCAAAAGAGCCCTGCTCTTCACCATTGACTCAGTTAGAACTTTCATTAAAATAGTACGGTCCAGATGATTTTTCCCTGCTTTTATGTCCAGTAGCCCCGGAGCGGGGGAGGCTTGTGCGCGCTGGGGTCCCGCATGTGTGGCCGCTGGTAGTCCCCGTGGCTGGCAGCGAGTCTGCATTACGCATGCAGTCCCGGGTGGTGTATTGTCTTCCTCCGTCGCCCCCTGGTCCGCGGCAGTGGAGGGGTGGCGGGGTTTTCAGGGGGCGTGGTAGACCCAAATGGCGGGCGCCAAGAGCCCAATCAAGGATCCTAACTAGACTGTTACAGGATAAATGTACTTCACCCATGGAAGAAGACCAGGAGCTCTCAACCTCCACAGGGCTCCACGGTCAGGCTCCTCCATCTAGGAGACCAATGAATACGGGGGGCCAGCAACAGTGAGGAGGAGGGAGAGCCAACACCTCACTTCACAAAAAGGAGACTGGCCCCCGGATCGGCAGGTCCTCAGCCCGCTCCAGAAGTGATTTTTTATTTTTTAAATGTTATTTTAAGAGACATTTGATTTTTTTCAAAGGAAGTATTCTTTGTTGGTTAAAGAGTTTATGTTTCAATGTTTTATAAATAAATGTTTTTTGAATATAATCTGAATCTCTCTCCTGTCATTAATAACAACCTTAATGCATTTTAACACCTTTATTGTTTTTAAAACAGTTACGGGTTCATGAGTTACAGTATGTGTCCAGGAATAAGGACTAGTTTCACAATGTCTGAAAGGATTCTTGGATCAACTTTACTGTCCGTCTTTGCACAATATCACTAAAGGCCTAGTCCAAACCCAGGATGAGGAAACAGAGGTCCTGTCCTCACACGCTCAGTTCTCAAATATCTTTAGCAACATGAAAACGCAAAACGCAAGGTTAAGGCTGTGATGAGCATGTCAAGTCAAAAACGATGTCCTTGACATAAAATTAAACACTTTAATGCACACAGTGCACATGGAGTCATCACAGCTTCTGAAAACATGTCATAACCACGGGGTCGACCACACCTCTTCACTAAGATAAAGGTTTCTGTCCTGTCCTCGCTCCGAGTCAAAAAGACAAAAGAGATACCAAATTGATAAATGTTGATTCTCCTACTCTCCTTTAATCAAATTCAATAAGATTCACAAGCTCATACTTGGACCTTAAAGGAGCACTGAGGCCTAAGACCTGTGTCTGCCCCAATGTGCTTCATCTTACCAACATCTGCCTTACTAACGTCTGTCACTCATTACCATCAGCAGTCTCTCTACTCCAAGCACCTACACCAGTTTACTTCATTTATTAGTTTGTAGCTGCTAGATTATATGAACAGTTATATGTTCTCCTGCCTTCAGAGTGTACCTATGCATGAGTCAGAGTATGCTTCCCAGTGCAGACATTTTATCATCAGGTTTGTGTTTATAGATCATATGTGTGTCTCCACTGCACGTTAAATTAAAACCATGTGAAGCAGACAGTGAATGAGATGTTTAAGAGTCTTTGTTGTTAGACATGAGCCAGTGAGTACAGCTACTGATGTTTTTACTGAACAAGTTGAAGAGGAGCTCACAGTGAGCATTTGAAGGACAATCTTTTATTCTCATTCTGTTTGACTCAAGATGAGATGGAGGAAAGACAGTCTGCAGGAGACGTCATGCTCACTTTGAGGAGCTGGGCCGTATCTGAATTGCCAAGTACATACTCAATCTTTCAGTAGGCAGTAGGCAGTATGCAGTATGTACTATCCGTGCTGCATACTGTTAGTACCCACTATTCAGTATGCACACACAGTAGGCAGATATTTGTGCCTACTTTGTCTGATTCATTCAGTATGGAAGTGACGTCATTAGCCCGTGGACACCTCAGCGTGTTGCTATGGAGTTAGTGCTAGGGAGAAGAAGGCGAGCCAGGAGAAGAGCTCGGAGAAGACACTTTTTTCTCCTCCTGGCCTTGATGGAAGAGGTGAGTTCATGTTGTTTTACAGGTAGTAGTGAAAAGTCAGGTTGATCATTGAATTGACGCTTTGGTCACTGTGTGAAGGTGCAATACAATGAGTTTACATAAGAATGAATATAAATAAAGTATCATGAAGCTAACCACACGTAAAACGCTGGAGCAGGGTAATGTTAGCTATATAGTCAGCTGATTAAAGTTTGTTATCTCATTATTAACCATAATGCAATTAGTTATATAGTGTTTATCTTGTACTTGACCTGTATGTAGCTACCGAAAACATTTCCATGTAATACACACCAAATGCACATTAAAACTGTGTGGCATTGGGAAAAACTGTTTCTAATTATTAATAGTTTGCAATTGACAAAGAATGTAAAATAACGCAATGTGCAATTATTGTCTAAGTGAGTCCAGCCATGTAATGTTTCCAGTTATTTGGTTTTGCCGTTGATATAATATACTTGCATTAACTGAACAGCCTATTGTAAACTGAATTACTACACAGATTCTAACTCAGAACCTTCTTTTCCCCGCAGCATACCAGGGGAGCTAGAGGCATATACTGCCAAATAAACCTCCAGGTACCACTCCTGAGGCTGTACTTTGGTGGTGAGGATACAAGGCCACATTTCCGCCTGAGCAGGGGTGCCTTGAACTTGCTGATGGCTACTTTGGAGGAGGACCGCTCTACCCACGGCTGGGGCAGGGAACTGGAGATGCTGGTGTTCCTCTACTGGCTGGCTAGTGCCACATCATACCGTGTCGTGGTAGAGGCTTTTGCAATTCCAACACAAACAGTCTTTGACTTGGTGCACAAGGCCAGTAAGAGGGTCCTTGCCATTGTGAAGTGGGTGATCCGTTTCCCCACTGCTGCAGAAATGGACGGAGTTGGTGCTGGTTTTGCTCGCCTGGCGGGGTCGGCAGTGTTTGCTCGTGTGGCTGGCAGCATTGATGGCTGCCATGTGAGAGTGGTTGTCCCAGCAGCACACGAGCAGGCATATTTAAACCACAGGCTCTTCCACTCGATCCAGTTCCAGGCCATCTGTGACCACAGGGGGAAGTTCCTGGACGTCTTTGTGGGTTACCCTGGATCAGTCCATGATGCACGTGTCCTCAGGCACTCTGATATGTATGTTCATCAGCTGTACCCCTTACAGGCATGGTGCCTCATTGGAGATCCAAGACCCCATCACCCTCATCACACCCTATCGGGAGCCTGTACACCGCAGGTTCAATGGCAAGCTCTCCAGAGCCAGGCTCGTTGTAGAGCAGGCATGAAAACCAGGTGGCGGACCATCTTCCTCAAGGCTATGGAAGTGAGAATTCCATTTGCTGTGGAGGTGATAACCTGCTGTGCTGTTCTGCACAACCTGTGCCTGGGTACAGAGGACCTGGAATCCCCTTCTGATCAGGACGCGGATGAGGCTGACCCTGATCCTGATGATCAGGACGCGGATGAGGCTGACCCTGATCCTGATGATCAGGACGCGGATGAGGCTGACCCTGATGCTCCTGCTCATCCTTAGGTGGCTGATGGCCTTTGAGATCAGCTCGCAGCTGCAGTCTCAGCACCTGTAGTCTGTGTTCCTGCACTGTGTGATCATGACTACACCACTTGAAGAGCACCTGAACCTCGCATGCACAGCACATTGTTTGTCACTAAACACATTACACCTGACACATTTACACAATACACTATTCACCCTCCACTTATCACTGTCATAACATTTTCATTTTATTTTTTTATTTTTTTGGGAGGCCCTGGATCTGCGTTCTTGTCGCGCCTCCTGTCAGTACCTGTCAACAGGGAAGCTAATGATCCAACACAATTAACATTGTATTAAACAAAACAAAACATGGCTGGGTCAATATAATAAAGACTTTTCTTCAGGAAATTGCATGAATGGAGTGTTGCTTTTAATCATTTAAAGTTTATGGTCAGTGTGTATTTTCAGTGTAACCTAATTTACAATTGTCATCTACCTCCTTCTCAAGGATGACATTTAACATGTGGAGTTTGCATTCCACTTACCTTAACCTCAATCACAAGGACAACGGATTGACCTTTGTTTAGAGATTGAATCTAATTATGCTGATTGGGTTGTTGGGCAGCAGGAATTCTCTGTATTAAGAACATTGGTGATTTGTCTAGCTCTACAGCAAAAGCTTAACTTTTCATGTGCTATGCAAGAGGTGTTACTTCCTACATGAAGATTTTATGGGGTGAAAGAGCCAACTTCAGTTCCCAAAATGATTTAAAGGGTCCTGACATATCTCCCAAATGATATAATAACCAGTCCAGAAACACTGTTCAATCCATTGTTCAGAAATTTCATGCTAAGAATGAATGTGCCAGATGAATTGACACATTTGCTTTCATTACTGTAAATGGACAAAGGCCCCAGCAAAGATGAACAATGAGATTCACCATGAAGTCTAATACTGGCATGTTCTACATTTGTACAATATCTTTCATTATTGGAGATGTCATTTATAATATACAATGCAGACAAATACAGTATGTACAAAATCAATTATTTATTTAACAAATGACAAAATAAATTCCGCAGTTTCACTGGATGAATAAATAACACAAAGTGGCTTTAAATGCAAAAATAACAATCAAACAAACTTGCCAACATAAACATTATAAACAAATAAACAAAATATTTAAGAAGCGCTCCTCACGGGCAGCCGCTTCTCGCGCAAACCGCTCATCTCTATCCCTGCTTTCCCTGTCCCTCCTCGCCTGCTGCTCTCTCATCTCTCCTCCCTTTCCCTCATCTCATTGAGCAGCCTCTCCTCTCTCTCTTCTGCTTTCCTCTCCCTTTCCTCGTCCCTCCTCTCCAGCTGCTCAAACAGTCTCATCCACGGTGGTGGTCTCCTGCGTCTTTTGGCAGGTGGAGAGGAGGTGGAGGAGTGGGAGAAGGAGGACAGAGAGGAGGTGCTGGGTCTGGGAGGAGAGCCAGTGGCAGGAGAGGAGATGGAGGCAGAGGTGGAGGCTAAGCTGGAGGCAGAGTCAGAGGCTGAGGTGGAGGCAGAGGTGGAGGCAGAGGTGGAGGCTGAGGTGGAGGCAGAGGCAGCAACTGACTCTTGAGAGGGAAAGGACATGACAGCTTCTCCCTGGGAGGATGAAGATGCCAGGGCCAGCGGTGTGATGATGTGGCTGGCCCCAAGCACCTCATCCATTAAATTGTACCACTTCCAGGAAGCAGCTGTCATCTCCCCTCCCTCTGTACTAACCCCTGTTTTAGGGGTCCTCAGCTCCTGAGGAAACATGAGAATACACAATATTTTAGTGAACAATATCCATTCAAATACACAACCACGTTTCCATTGTAATGTTAAGCAATGAGGTATATTTTATGTTGTTCAGTTCAAATTCCATTGGCATACTGAATATTCTCAATGTTGCACAGTGTGAAATGTGTCACAGGAATCCTGTGTGCAGCAAAAATTGTCACAGTTGGCAGAGCCTCCTGGACCAGTAGCATGAATGGTCAAATAAATGGCATGTCAGTCTTGATCATGTAATGTGCAAGTTGTATGAGTTACATACTTTGTACTTCTGCTTCAAATTCTCCCACCTCTTCTTCAGAGCGAGGACGGGGACTATCCCCTCCACCCCCATCTCTTGTGCACATGCTCTAATGAGAAGTGTAGTGTAATTGTAATGGGTTAATACCAGGATAAAATCACCTTGAAGCTTATCTTCGAGTTAGACCATCACACGACATAGCACTGACATCGTCTTTTAAGGCAAAATAGTATAGATTGTGAGCCCATATAGCCTGTCGTAGCTCATGACAGCACCTATCTATGAAATCTACAGATGCAAATGGTATAACTTCCTCAAAACCCTTGCGGGCAGCGTTCCGCTGTCCGGGCTCTCCACCGGATCAGCTGCCGCGTGTGGTCATCTGTCCCTGTGCAGCACAAGCACTTGTTTTCAACATCCATACAATAATCATGAGTAAATGTTTTTGAGCTTCTGATAACTCATTGCAGAGACTTTACATGATATGCACTGTGGCTCAGTGAATAATACAAAACGTCACATTGCATATAACCAATTTAACAACTTCACATTTGAAAGGCATGTTGCCTGAACCAGCTGCATCCATGGTCATTTGTTTTGCTTTGGAAGCGCACGTGAAGTGACGTTTTATATTTACGTTTCTCACACAGCATTGTGGGAGTTAGTATACACTAAATTTCCTGAAAGCACGCATCCGATCCATACTGCATGAAACCCGGAAGTTAGTAACCATACTGAAATGTTCAGTACACTGCACAGACCCAAAAAATGCATACTGAATGACCACGAAAGTTCAGTATACTGAAACTCCATACTGAATAGTACGTATTGCATACTAAACTGTGACAATTCGGAAAGGGCCCTGGTTTTCTTTTAGACAGGAAGTGAGGAACATGTGTCAGAAAACTTTGACAGCTTCTGATTCAACTAAAGTTTGTAGGAATCAGATGAAGATGTTTAGCTGAGCTCAACACAAAGTTTGAATGTAGCACAGCTCTTCATTACACATGGTCAAACGGTCACCACAGAGCTCAGCAATCAATATATAGACACACAAACAACCAGGTGGAGGTGATCTCCATGATTCACAGTCAATCACGGAGAAATGTGGGCGGGTCTTATTTTAGATTGGCTAATTTAGTCAAAATGACATTAAGATTGACAGGTGGTTTGACTGATCACGTATGTTTATTAGCATTTAATACACGTAACAGTATTTATCAAAGTACTTTTGTTATATTAAAGCTGACGTTTTACAGATAATTTTAGTTTAATTGTCTAATTAATAATAACTGTTTTGTTTCAAGTTACATCAATTTATTACACTATCTTCAATATTTAAATAATAAAAGTGAGAAGATAACAGCACTAGTGACCCTGGATTACACAAGGTATGCCAAAATATATTGTATATATAAAGTATACCCAGTATATATATATAAATAAATATATTTAGCATATTTTAATGCAGGTAGATCATTTTAAAAGTAGCTCACAAGCCAAAAAGTGTGGGCACCCCCAGCTTACAAGATGTTTGAAATCACATGCTGATCGTTACACCAGCAGGTAAAGAGTCTTAATTAGTTATTGGATGCACCTGTGGAGGTAACCACACAACTTAACATGTCTCACTTTCCACTGAAAAAAGTCTGAGATGGATTTAAATGTCTGCACAAATCATTATTGTCTGTTGGGCCCACCTATGAGTCAATAAAAATATTCCTCATGTCCTGTTTAAAGAACATTTCTCTGTTTTCTTCTCAGCTTGAGAAACTCTTCATCCTGTTTAAAGTCCTCCTCACTACTCATCACAGTTTTACACCTGAGGAGCTCTCCGAAGGCCTAAGACACTTTGTGAATGACTTAGTTACAAAGATCTAGTCCTAACTTTGAGGGGAAATGTCCTGATTCTACAAACTTTCTTAGAATTTTGTCACTAAAAGCAACTCTTAGTACTTCGGAGGCTTTGCGAATACGGCCCCTGAACACTCACTATTCAACATCTTTTAAGCTACCGGTATTTAAACTTGTAATAGGATAGAATATGATTCATACCAGAAAGTGTCAGGCTAAGTAGAGCTATAGCCGACTACAATCAGACGTGTTGTCTTCAACATGAGTTCATTTGATATTTTATTGTGTCAGCTTGAAATCATACAACCATGTAGTGTAGTGGAACAGGAATGTGCACGGTGAATCAAATCCCACACAATCCATGAACCAATAAATAACACGTCTCGATTGCACTTCATTTTATTGACCACTAGATGTCCTACTCGAGCACTGTGTCATTGAAGCCTCGAGTAATGAACCATTTTTTGAATCAAGTGTGGAGGATTTATTAGCCATCATCAGTCATGAGGCTTCATCTTCCCATCTCTATTAAGTTGACCATGAAAAGTCTACGAGTAGGCCTACACACACAGACCAATCAGTGTGCTGTCCTCTTCTACCTTTTCTACCCAGTCACCTGCTGCCTGTGGCCAATCAGAGAGGCTCTCTGAATCGGTGTCACTCTGAGCCAGGTGAAACCAATCTCCCTCACCGTACTGCTCTCATGGGCTGAATCAAGATATCATCCCTAAACCCTAAACCCTGAGCCCTTTCTGACTTTATCGACATCACCTGGAAAGTGATTGAGTGCATGAGGCTGCGAGGGCTCTAATGGTTAAATACAAATGGGACAGCACTTTGCAACTTCTCTGTAACCATGACTACATGATGTCATGTAGCAAAAGCTTATTTTACATTTTTTACTTTACTCACTCACAGCCATGGCGCTTATAAAAAGTTCTACTATAGGCCTATATGAATGTCTTCGTTGTGGGATAAATAAAGATTTATCTTCTATAAATATAACGGACTAATATGCTCTCTATCTCTCTTGTTTTTGTTTTGCCTAAAGACTCGCAGTAGAGTACTGTAAATAGAGCGTGGTTTCACCTGCCTGTTTTTTTATCGTGGGCTTCCCTGGGGAATCATATGTTTCACGTCACAATGCTATGAACTATGGATAATTCCCTCATGTTAAGTCTGCAGATATTCCCACTTACGGACAGGGTGCATAAAGGGCTCGTAAAGTCAGCGAGAGATCCCTCAAACACTTGAAGACTCGACTGTGGGACAACACTAAATCCTCACAGACTTACTGGGAACGGGCACCAAAGTTGATGAGTGTGTGAGGGTGGACATCGAGATTGGGCCACAGACAATGACACCAAAACAGGATTTATAAAGTTCAGGCAGACCAGTGGCCTCAGGGAGTCAAGCGGACACCTGAAAGACTCTCAGATGTGCAAATGATATTAATGCTGGGTTGAAAGTTCAGTAAAATAATACACCATTGGATTAGGTTTATTTCCAAGAAAAGGAGGGATGTCATGTATTGGTTAGACAAGTCAGATAGTAAACAGGAAGTAAAACCATATGGGAACATGACATTACAGTCAGAGTGCGATAAGTTGTAGGTTTGCGGTTCAGACAATAAAGCAAGTGAAAGTAGAAGCTTCATGATTCAATGTAATTCAGTATTAAAATAGGCACACTACATGTACAGCCAACAGATTCCTTTCTATGTGGATACACTTCTAAAAGGCTAGAAAGGTGACATTACCTAGACTTGTAAATGTCAGACATATACATTTCAGTCTGAGCTAACATTGTTACCTTTTAAAGCTCCCAACATACACTCTGTTCCCCTCCACATAAAGCTCTGCTGCTCTGAGACTCTTACACATACTGCTACAGCTATTGAGACCCAAAATAAGAACCACCCTAAGATGGTAGACAGATTGAAATATCCACAAAATCACCAAGATGAATGAATTCATGATCATACTTACACAGACAACAGGATGTGATGAAACGTCTTCATGTTTCTCCTCTCAGCTCACATTAACCTTCATGTGTCACCTGAAACAGGTCAACACATTTCAATCACAGCTTCTCTAATGTGCACAGGCTCTGATAGCAGCTGCTGTGACTGTAATGTTAGTAAACAGCACCCTCTGCTGGCCACAGACACATAGTAATAAAGTCATTCAATGGGCCCTGCTTATTCTGAAATGAGGATTACATCAAGACAAGCAGAGAATAAATATTTAACTTTAATTAAATGGTCAAATATTCAAACAGAACAACGATGAAGATTACAGATGTACTCATCATGTTTGTCTACCGTTTAACTTTTAATACGTTTTTCATTCTTTACACTGTGGACCATTTGTTGACAATGGCGTGAGTTGTGGCGCGGGAATCGGACTGTGATCCGGCCTCTTCAGGCACGCATTTCTCTTTTATTCTCTTTTATCCTCTTTTATTTCCCCTTCTACGAACATACACACACACATATTCCCGTGTAAACGTACATCTGGAGACCAACTCCACCACCGCGCCATTACGCACAGAGATCTATACACTCGCGGCTATCCAGACGCCTCGGAGACACAGATCGTGTAGGGCCGAACTCGGTCTCTTTTAGACATTAAGGCCACATTTAGGCCTTTGTTAGGTTTGCGCCATCGTGAACGACCACATGGGTACGAAGCCATCTCCCCCCTTTTCTTCTTCCCCCTCTCTCTCTCTCTCTCTCTCACACACACACACACCTACATTCACACCCTTTCCACAAGCCTTTGCTTGATAATGTTTGTTGCTTAGATTAGTTTATAATAGTTATTTGTTTAATTAAGTTCATTGATTTTGGATTGATGTTGCTTTGTTTAAATAAATTCTGTTATAATTTAAGAGAGCAGTTGTTTGTGGTTACTGGTGTATTTGCATTGTGATATAAGCTGGGTGCGAAGGCTTTGTGTACGGATTTCACGCCTTCAATTTATTAAATATAGTTATTCATTATTAATAATATTAGTAATTAAATAACTAATTTGAGACTGATTTGAGTGATATTTTGGTTATATTTACCTGATTACAGGTTGGTGCCCCAAAACGAGATTAAACATAGTTTAATGATATTTTATTTATTTTATTAATAATTAAGTATAATTATTAAAGAATATAACCAAAGTTGACTTGATACAACCCCAACAAATGGTGCCCCGTGTGAGACCTTCAATAAATCAGCTTTATTGCACTGTTAATGCACAGTAATCCAAACTTAAATCCTAAAAAGGATCCTTCTGAAGAAAATTATATTTTCTTTAAATTTTTGTGGTTTAAGCAAAGCAGACATCAAGCTGTGGCTTAGTTGTGTTGTATGTTGTTAGTTAATGGTTAAAGCCATAACTGTTGTCCCCTTTGGGTCCATCCAACAATTGGACATAATGATGCAGCTAGTGTGACTTTATCAAGGAACTTGATTTGTTGCATTCATCTAGATTTTGATCCTGAAGTATTCTACTAAAGGATTGTGGTGCTCCTTGTTGTTTGAGAGCCATTTGGCCATCCAAGAGTGTAACCTCATCATTGTTGCATAGCCAGTTGTCTGAGAGGTGTGAGTTCCTCCCTTCCTTTGAGGACTTGAGGTGTGAATCCCCTCTCCTATCTTCCAGGATAGACTGCAGTGATCAGTTGGAAAACTTAGATAAGATTTGCTCTTGTGTACCAAGACCCTAGGTGAGTCGGGAGCTGAGACTCCTTTTGGATCAGACGACGCAGCACTGCAAGAAACTGCTGCCGGTCTGACAAACCTCTCCTTAGAGGAGAGTGTCAACCTATATAGCTAGTCAATTAGCATTAGTGATTAGAAGTTAGAAGAGCTAGTTGATCTTGTCAACCACAGAGCCAGGCTCACCCCTAATAAAGACAGAATGTATGCAGAAGACATACATCAACCATGGGCCTAAGCTCACGATGGATCAGATGATCCACCCCTTCAAGACGTAGTTGCTAATCTTATCCACCTCCCTATAGAGCAGCTCGACAGCCTGAATTCCTACACCCTCAGCACATGTGAAGAGAAACTAAAGGGCTTGGTTGAATATGCAAATCAACCAACTGGAAAGCCAACACGTACAGTTTCAGATGTTCTAGGCGAAATTCTCCTCCTTTATCAGCGCAAATCAAATGTGCAGAATGAGATACACCAGGAACAGCTAGCCCGGGTACTAGAAGAAGGACAGATCCTGTGGGACGACTTCGAAAGAATGCAGGATAAACTAAAGACCTTGCAGGAAAATTGCAAGGCCCTGCAGGAGGAGAATAAAACACTGCATGAAAGCAGCAAACTGGCCGAGCAGAAGAAACGAAGTGACCCGGTACCCAGATTTCAGGATAGGCAGATAAGTACTGCAGCCCCCAGATCAGCTGAGGAAACCTCAGACAAAGGATGGGAGACTGAAACAAGCCCCTGGAGGAGGGAGACAGACATGTTGCAGGATCTGGAGGAGAGGGGAAGGCACCGCCGGGTCGACCCAGGCACAAAAGCGCCCACGTCCTCAGACCACCCGGTAAAGAGCTGGATGATTAAAGATGAAGGGCCCCCGCGTTCCGCAATACGCTTTGAGCAAAGAGAACCCTCACCCCGCAGGAGGAGAGGCTTTACTCCCCCTAGAGACAGGGAGGAGACACGG